CTGCTGATGAGCCCCTGAAAATAGACGCTTGGATGATTACAGTTCTTCGAGAGCATTTGGGTGAAACTCACGGCATTAAGATGAAAGACTGAAAAAGCCTTCAATCGATTTGTTTAATCTCAAATCGCTTTCGCGGTGTATAAAGACAAAGAGATAGAAATGGGCACACTGGGAATAGCTTCCTCGTTTATCTTCCCAAGACACCGACGTGAGCATTCCCCACCACTGACAACGAACGCCACGTCCCTCCTCTCTTTCATCCATGAATCTGTTTCAACTGCTGACCGGAACCAGTCATGGGTTCTCATGTTCAGTTCTTTTAAGAATAAGCCATCACAAGTCTCCGTGTGTCTCTCTGCCTCTTTCATTCCTTATCACGACTGAACCACCTGCCTTCCCCCACGTGCCCAAACTGTCATGGACTCTGCTCCACTGAAAGTTCCTTTTTCCCCTCTGCCACACCTCCCTCCTCCTTCTAGCTGCTCCCCACATCGAGCTGCGGCTCCTCGTAACCTATAGCAATGCGTCAGTCGGCCAGGTGTTTCCCGCAATTGCGCTTGCCGCTCAACTATTGTGCAGCAATTTCACTTACTGTTTAAACATTTCTGGCTGTGTCAAGTTAGATGTTGGCATATTTGCCACACTAGATATGATTTTAAATGAAGCCAAATGAAGCCAAAGCTACTGTGTGCTTTACAAGATATTGCCCGTTTGTTATTGTGAAAATCAAACACAATAACACACCAGGAGAATCTACACCCAACCTCTAAATCTGCGGAGACGCACGATTCAGTCTGAAAAATATGCAAGGAAAACACTTGAGTGCCTCCACAGCTAAAGCTCAAGTAGCCCACCACTCCTTCACTCCCAAACATCGAACCCAGCCATCCATTCCTTGCACACCGCATCCCCTCAACGACCCCCACGCCCCCACACACACACACAAACACACTTATCTGTCATGCTTGGGATAAGGTGTTGCTGGGCAGAATGACTGACTGCCTGCAAGGCTCTACTTGAGCCTGTTTGGTTTACTGTGCAGCCACCGAAGTGTAATTCAGGGTGACGCATCGTGCATGGGAAGAGGCTGCAACGTTACATCGCACTGTTGGTGTGTTTTACCAAGCGCAGCAATGTTAAAGATGCGTTAGTAATACACAAACTATGAACCCACGTCAAACTTGAATGGCTGAATTAAAGGCGTCGTACCTGCAGCCGCATTATTAAGCTGTTTACCACAGTGGGTCATTACGCTGACAGTAAAACAGAGTAGTACTGATGATGTGGTGCAAATTGCGATCCACTTTTGTTTTTGCACCGCTACCAAGGGCTCTGGGTAGTCTTTTGATCGCACAGTAAACTTTAATAGTGTTATTAAACAGAGCAAAGTATTTACTGGATGTAATATTGGATCCATTTGAATTGGCAAAGTAGGCAATGTATGTTTATTGGATCATTGGCTTACCAGCTGGATACGTGTTTCCGTATTAAACCGGATCTCTGTAATTGCCGTGCTGGCAACATTTCGAGTGAACAAATCGACAAGCATTGCAAACAATCGAATGAATAATTCATCATTTTGGTCAAATGCAAACAAACTGGTTTGGTAGGATCTATGAGCTGCACTGCAGACAAGTTCATCTAATTGAATCAAAGAAACTTCCAACACACGGAACAAGTATTGAAGTGGATCGTTTAAAAGGGCAGGGATAGAGCGATTTCATCAACTAAAAAGGACACGGTTAGTTCCAATGCCACAGATAAGACACAATGCCTGAGCGACGGTTCACTCACTGACACCCAATAATCAATACACTTTGAGTTGAAAAGCATCAGATGAGGTTTCGGGACATGCCACGGAGGGCCTGCGCCGCCGATACAGTAGTCAAAACATTTCATCGGGAATAAGACAAAAAAAGAATCGTGCACTAGTATGGCCGTGCCAGGCGGTGCTATATATTGACGAGGCTGATCGATGTTACTCAGCATCTTGCATAAAGTCACTGTACCCATGAAGATTTTGTATTGGGATGCGAAGGAGGTGGACGTCAAATTGCAACCAGAAATAATAATAGTTGTTCAGCCTTGGAAGAATCATTGGACTTTTCATCCATTTTTCCTGTGATTATTTTTAAAAGTATTCATTGCTTTTTCTATTTAAAAAAAATGATGAAAGAAGAACCTGCATATTATGTTGCTGCTGCCACCCGGGGCTGAGTTCACAAGTATTCAATTGACTTGGCCCGCGCTTTCATGCGCAGGAAAATTTCAACACAATGGATCCAATGTTGCTGTTTCGTCAAGAAACTGACAATACATGCAAGAATGGTTTAAGGACAGACACTGTAACGGCTTATAAGATACTCCATGCCCAACATGGCCGTTGTGGCGTATATCAGCTTCATGTTTTCTTCTGCAGTTCGACCTTGATGCAGAAAAAGCACTGCTGCATGTGTGAATGACTGAACGTGCGCAGCACGCGTGCACGTACGCGCTGACAATGCTCGCCCGACTTGACTGTTGTGTTGTTCCAGGCTTCGCGGATATACACGCTCAGCATTTAGGAGACTTAAAGACAAGAGAAGGGGTAAGTTACCTATCATTTGATGCCGCCCGTCTTGCATAATCCCACGCTTTCCGATGGGAGGAAAATGCTGACGAAGCCACGGGGCAGAACAATAGCAAGACAGCAAGAGAAGGAAAAACGATCGTCGGGACTGCCCTTTCGGTTGGATGAATGCAAAATCCTGACTAGGCAAGCAAACTCCTCCTCACCAAGTTTGTGTTTTCAAGGCTCATTTGACTGGATCAGCATTCTAATGAAAGACCGCGATGCCCTCAAGCTCCGTTTGAGTCCCATTTGTCTCTTTTGTTCATATGCAACTTGCACCTGCAGAAAAAGCCCATAACACGAGCGCATCGTGCCAGCAGGGAAAGTTTCCTTCCATCAAATTAGACGTGACAGCAACAGGAAACCAAGTATATGACAAGGTAAGCGAGGTGTCACATTTATGAGATTTTTTCCCTCCCCCCCCTCTCATGCTTCACACTTTTTCTCGCTACCTTTCATCCTATGGGTCCCGTCTGAGCACCATAATCCTTTGGATCAGGTATTGAATCATCAAAAGCAGAATATGGACTCCAGGCTAGCCCAGTCATCCCACCGCGAAACCTGGAGAACATTTACGTCCAACAACTTCAAAAGTTTTGCTCATCTGGAACTTTTGAAACAACTTGAGGCTATTTCATACCGCTTTGTGCGTGTGCGTATGTGTGCTTCTCCGCTTATGTGTGAAAGCATTTTCATTTCCAAATGGAAACGCCGCTGACCAGCTGCTACCTTATCCTTGTCAAGGCTATTTACACAGCGAACAGCAGTAAATGTTGGTAAATTTGTTCTGCTATACACAACCAATCAACAACAGAAAGCCAAAATTGTCCTTCAATATTTGTCACTTCATTTATTTTCCGCAATCGGCATACTTTTGATTTCAGGATTACTGGTACCTGTGACACAACATACGCTGTCAAATCAATCGTGCGTAAACATTCCAAAGGCAAAGGTTGTTCCATTGAGACAAATGAGGAAAAAAAAAAAAGGCTCAAAAAATAGGGGCCAAAGTCCAGTCCGTGCTAACAATAGCAATAACTGGGGTGCAAAATAGTCAACTAATCAGGGGTGGAATCTGAAGCTACGCAACCGAATCTGACCATCGCTGCATTACCTACATCCTTAAATGATATGACTGAACAAACTTGAGCCCGTCTATTCAGAAAGTTTGGCCAACGGCCCATGAAATTGCGCCTTTCGCACGCAGCAGCCTGTGAACCACTTGGCAAGCGCCGGCGAGATGGCGAGATGAGGCAGGGTTCCGATAAACGAAGCTGGCATTTGTTTGAACGCTTGCCCGTTTGCCTCTGGGAACCATCTCCAGACGCTCCACAAAACGGACACAACCAGTTCCCCACCTGTTCCTTCCAGCGAATTCATGTCATTTACAAAAGAACGCCAATCAAAGTGACTGCCATCGTCACAAGCGGCGGACAGCCTTTTCATTCTTTTTCTTTGCCCATTTTATCACCAAAACACACATATTTGCTTTTCTTCTCATTTCATCTCTCTGTTGTTGGGGGGAATACAAATCAGAGGTGCATCCCTCATGGAATCCTTCTACGGTCGTGTCGTCTTCGTGTGTAAATATAAAGCTGTCATGCGCAAACTCACAGCTCGCATGGGGAATGTGCAAAACCACACATATGCCTTTGCTCATCCCGATTCCATTTTCCTGCCAAACCAAAAACACATCTTACCTAAAAGTCTTAAACCAAGACCGTAAAGAAGGAACAGGAAATTCTATTTCCACCACTTGTTAATTCCCTTGTTCAAGCCATCCTGGTAAGCGATAGTTTTACACCGACATACTGGACTCAAAATTTACAATATTGCAGAAAAGAAATCAAATACGGTGCAAAATTCTGACAGTGTGAAGTGAATGGCATCGAGCCTCAACAATAACCACAATAAGACAACCATTGTTGAACTAATTCTTCTCTGCGCATTGTTAATGACATATCGGAGGGGAGCAAACAGCCTATTCATAATGATCTCCCCTGAGCCCCTGTGTGCTTATCCTGTAGTGCGCTAATGGGGTTACGCCCCTTGTGGATTTCTTTACAGACAAAACCAAATATGCATCATCTTGGTAAACAGTGAAGATTTACATATTCAGCATGACAAACATGACCTAAAATAGTATCATCAAAGAATTGGAATCCACGTGGTAATAACCTTGAAGATCACAAAGTTTCAAAAGATATCAAGCTAGAAAGTGTGTCAAGCACATATTGTAGCCATGATGCTTATTTATTTATAAGAAAGTAAACCGGCATCTTTCAAGCAGCCAATGTGAATTTTAATTTTCCATCGTCGAACTTTAAATCATTTTCTTGATACTTTGTACTAAGGCTAAGAATTTGAAGAATTGTGGCAGAGGACTTACGTTGCTTGTTGGTACTCTGGGGAGGTGGCAATAATCGCGTGTAACAACAATATGCTGCTTCAGTCAGCCCTCCGCACTCGATTCTTAAGTCGTCTGTGATGTTGAGTTGGGGTTTGTGTCTTTCAGTCGAGGATTTGTGCAGCTGCAAACACGAGGAAAGAAATGAATAAGTCAGACAAGCAAAAGATCTGTGTTTCCCTGGATCATGCATTCTCTATTCTCTCACGAGTCACCTCCTCTCCCGAAGCTTCTCAAATGTCATGACTGTAGTCTGATATCGATGATGGGCGCCATTTCACCGCTTTTGTGCTCTCCTCAACCCACACAAGATTCCTTTGTTTCTGTGTTTTTGGTGGTCTCCATGTCATTCTCTCCACCAACATTCCTGGGCGTCAACAGTCAACACAAACAGTTCATGACGATACAAAGCACCAATTTGAACACCAAGGTCATTCAAGCGAGTTTATCATAATTTGACAGTGATGCAAAGCCAAGAAGCAGATGTCAGTGGCTAATTCCAACGGTGTGTGCGAGCTGCTGATTGCGTGGCAAAAGGTGGCTGCTGCTAATCAATGGAGTTAGCGCAGAAATCCTCTGCTACCAGATTCAAGCACTCGGCACCTGCAGCTCACCACGCTCATTTTGGCTTGATTGTCATCAGAGCTCGTCTGTTTGCTTGTGTTGGAGAAACGCACCAATTAGAAGACTTGGGTGGCTGTTAAATCACACAGTATAGAGCAATTGCTCTTATTGTTGACAATAAGTGCGATCTAGTTCATGAAATCATTCAGACAGCTGAATGCCATCAGTCGCTCAGTAGTATTGCATTTTCAACATGAATGCAACAGCATAAAAAAAAAATTGTCTCCAGTAATGTATAGCAATCCAATGTTGGGGCTTGCGGCTATCATTCCATTGTCTTTGTTTTTGTCTCTTTTGAAGTAGAAGACGAGTCAGAATGACTCCATTAATGCAGAACCTTTTCCTGATGAATCAAAAGGAACACCTTACCCAAGGTAATGACGGCCCTTTCTCTCTTTTTGCCTCCGGTGTTTTGCTTTTACTGATTACGGGGGAGGAGGTCATGAAGGTTGGGTTGTACAGTATGTGGCAATCTCCGTTCTAGTTCCTGTTATTGACGAGATGTAATTTGTGGGACAATAGAGTACTTGCACATTTTTTCCGATCTGGTGATGATATTGCATAAAATATGATGAATGCAGATCTGAATGTTTGGCAGAACAAAATGAGCTCTGGGGGTTAGGGGGTGGTGGTGGGGGTTGTGGCAAAGCAGCTCATTTAGTTCTTTTTTTTTTTGTCTGGTAACATATTGTTCATAGCTCCCGTTAGATTGTGAATGCACCTCATTTCCTATCCTGTCTCTGATTGGTTGTTTTTCCTTGGGCGTGTTGGGTTCTTAAAAATCTATGATTAAAGGTAGAAGATGGGGCCGAAGACCACTCAATTTTTTTTACATTGGTCATTTCATTCATGCACTAAGTAATACTGATAGTTTTAACACATATGACATATGATTTGGTTTTGAAAATTGTAAACGCCACATTTGAGGTCAAATGTTGTGGGAACCGTAGCGAAGCACAAACCACTTTTGGTAAGCCGCCGTGACTAGAGCCCAAATTAGGTCAATGTGAAAATATGATCCAGCACGATATCGAGGCAATTTGTTTGCTTGGACCCAGTAAAAGTATATAACGGGCATAATAGGATAATAAGGAACAGCGATGCGACCTCCAACGGACTGGCACTTGCTTTTTATACACTGAAGGCGATTGCTGGTTGTGGTACAGTAAGTATAAAGTATAAATTAACAATGAATGTATTTTTGACGTGTTTGGATAGGTATGCCATTTTGTCAGTGGTTGAAGGCTATTGGTGCATATGCACTGCAGATGGCTTTGACTGGAAAGTGAAAAATAGACAGGAGAGGAGTGAGATGAAAAGGGGGTTCTTAGGGAAAGGAATGGGGGGGTGGGGGGTTCCCTTTCATATTCACCGCATGTTATGGAAAGTCATTACCCACAACAAGAGAATTTCTGCTCTATTTGCTCGACATATTTTTCCACCTGGTCTCTTGAGTGTGCCGCCCCCTGACTGGAGTCGAAAGACACAACCCATACAAACCAGTCCTCGTGTTTACCTTTGTTCCAAATCCCTCAAAATTAAAACAAAAAACAAAACATGAGCTCTGAACACAAGATGAACTTTTTTTCCCTCCAGTATTAGACAACATTATCATTATTATTGTTTATGCTGTATCATATTTTTATTTGGTCTGGATCTCAGCTCCCCGTGTGGGGTGTGTTCGTGTGTGTGTGCATGTACGTATTTGTTTCCAAGCACAAGGGCTTATTGCCTCATTCCAAAAACATTAGGTTAATTAAAGGCTACATTGTCCATATGTGTAAATATGTCACACTCAAAGTCTACCGGGATGGGCTTCAGCTCTCTGGCACCCCTAATGAGGACAAGCGGGACAAAAAAAAAAAAAGAATGAATGAATCCATGGACATATTGTAAAACTACAAAGACAAATTATAATTTTTACTTGTGCCAGCTTGAAAAAAATGAAGAAAATTGTCTTCAACATGCTTTGGGGCTAGGTCATTCATATATAAATATATATGTAGACGTAATGCTTGGTCATTAGCGTGCACCGTGTCCATCATTCATGTGAAAGACAATGGAGCTTTTTAAAGCACCCAGTGAGAGGCTGAAATTGCTTTGAGGGTGAACTCGGTGCAATCAAATCTGATTGCTCTCCAACAATTAACCAGCACTGGGAAAAAAAAAAAAAAAACATGCAAGATACAGCGATGGTTCCAAACAAAACACTTGACAAACTACTGTAATAACCAAGTCCTCCCACTGAAAGCCCAGCATGTGGGAACTGTTCTAAAATGGGTGGGAGAGTTCTCATCTTTCCTCCCATCTCGCTTTCCAGGCTCTTATTTTTGTGTTTTCCCCTCTGTGTTCTCCTAGCAGACCCAAAGAGTGGGAGGAAAGGGGAAGGCTTTCTGGCACAGAGCTCATGGTTCAGAAAAAACAAAACAAGGTCCATAATACATCATTAGTCTGCTCCCCAGGCTGTCGTTGATCACCTTTTTTTCATCAGAGCATCATCCTGTTGCGCAAACAACCGAGAACCACATGTTGACAAATTCAGAATGACTCTTCTACAAAGAGTTGGAATTTGATTGATGATAGATTGCATACACTTCCAGCAATGAGCAGATTTAAAAAACACACGTGCACAAGTGGACATACATACATTGAGAAAATAAAATCATATATATATATATATATATATATTCTGAATACATGGAAAAGTTTTCGCTACCATCAAACAAGCAAACTCCTCTCTCTAAAAGAGGCTATTGACTCAGAGAGTCAAAGCATCAAAATAATCTTCACTGTGAGTGGACCCATTCTTGATAGCAGATGGAAACCAATTCAGCCCTGATCCCCCGTATAAGTGATGATACTTTTGCCCGGCAGAGGTGGACAGGAATGAACGAAGCGATAAGGAAGCCCAGACCTCGTCGTCACTGCCCATCACAGAGAGGCACAGAGAGGTGTGACAGATCATGAAATTAACATTATGCTCCTTTCTGACACATATAGGCAGTGCGCAAACAGAACTGCCGCCCAGAGATAGCAGCCAAACCAATCACCATGCGAGATGTATGGAAGGGTGCCTTCACAGCAATTGTAGGGGACACTGGGAAGAGAGTTTTTGCAAAATGCCACGTTGCATTTCAGCATTATGCTGTGACAATGTAGTTGCTGGGTTCAGTAATATTTACAGTATATTGGAAGGGGAAAAAAAAAAGTGTCAATCTGGCCTTTAATCTTGAGACCCTCCCCCCCTCCAAGTCTGTCTCATAACACCAGGCCACAGGGACTCCTTTGGCCGTCTTGGCTCAGACGTTATACTGTACTGTTTATTGCACACTATTGTCACAACGATTTAACAGTGACCTGGTGAAAGCTTTTGAACACAGCGAGCGGTGATATGTTTAGGATAATAAGGCTTAGTTTCAGAAATTTCACCGTTGAAAGATGGAGAGCCATGGAACCACATACACCTATCATCTCGGGGGCCCTAATTCTCCCGCCCTCCATGCTCCGTGCATTCACAAACTAACACACGTCGCTCGATAAAATTCTCGGGTAGGGCTCACATAAGCCACGCAGCATCATGACTGATGTCTCCCTCGGCAACCCTCTGAATGACTGCGCCCATAACCATTAGAGAATATGGAATATAAGCAATAAACGAGAAACGTACGCTCCCGCTTCATCGGCAAGGGGGCTCTTCCTCGGAGCTGATGCCTGCTGTTGTATGACATGGGCACGAGGGACATCTTGATGCCGAGGAAACCCATAAAACAGCGCCAAATGTTGCCAGTCGATCCACTGCCGCACTCGCGCGTTGATGTAAAGGGCCATTAAAACTCTGCGACACCCGATACTGGATGCCCACGGGGAGGCTGCGGGTCTGTTCTCATCTCGGCTTTTACAATTAGGCTAATTTCTAGGGAGGACATTTATGTGCAGGGTTCAATTCTAATGAAGTCAGGAACACGCACGCAGGATCCCGACAAATGTAACTTTATATATGCATGGGTGGTCTGGGATGCTGCTGTGAGCTTAGTCCCTCAGATAAAAAGAGGGCAATTTAAATTACGCCAGATCGCTGTTTGCGGCTTTCATTACCATTTTTAGTGTCGCGACTGAGGAGAAAAAGATAATCAAGAATGACATTCGTATTTGCACTCCAAAAGGGACTGTAAAAATGTTGAGATCATGAACATGCCTTACTGCCTAACAAGGAGCTTCAGAGAACAGCTTGTTTGACAATCGGGTGCGTTAGTCATTTCCAAGCCCCAGAAATGCTGTTGAACCGCTGAAGTCAAATACAATTCACAATTTGACCAAAAATAGCGCAGTCTGCAATACACCTGTAGGATCATTCTCAGGTAAGATTAGACCACCACTTAGAACTTGCCCTCCTCACACACAGCTCTGCCTCACTGTCACTTCGACACGACCACACCCCCACCCCTTCTCATGTCAGGTCTCAAGCAAAGACTGTGACCGTAGCATCAGTGCATGTAAAGGCCAACTCAACAACACTATGGAGAAGTGAGCCCAATGTTTTTGCAAGCAAAAGCCCAGTTTTTGCTTTCAACCGACTAAATAAGCTACACGGGGCAAAGGTAAATGCATAAAAATTAAAGACTCGCTGTGGAGACTCTGCAGGAAATATTCACCGCATAGAGTCGATCCATGGATGAATCATCACAGAGGGTTTCGTTACATTTTCACTTTGACTAACAGTAGTGCACAAGTTTGCGAGAGACCAATCAAACTGCAGTGGAGGGGTGTGAAATTATAACTGCAAAAAAACCTCATACGACCTGGTTTCGAATAGAAAATGTTGGAATGTAATTTGGAAATTACAGACAACAAAGCCTTGTTAGTCTCTGAAGCATGTGTTAATCAACCTCAAGTCATTCGAGCCTCATTTCATGTTCTCTGAATGGTTGCCCGTGTGTTTCCCGGATGACAGTGTATTTGGCTCGTCTCTGCAGCCTCGATGTCCAAATAAATTGGTCAGCTGCTGCGGATGTCCGGCAGAGTTTGCTAACAAGTACATTTTTAAATATAATTTGCATCCAACAGCTCCATTAACAGCCGTGGTCGTTCACGTTTAGCATTTTAACAGCTCCTCCATTTCCTTCTCAGTGACCTCAGGGATGAGGATGTGAAACAATGAGATAGAATGTCACATGCACTTAAGCTAAATGAGTTAGGAGGGCACCCTGGGTGATCAAAGACATTCTAATTACTCTTGATCATTGAACATGTGGAGTAGAATGGCAAAAAACAATATAAGAAACTTTTACTACCCTCACCAATCGGAACCAAGTGCAGAATGAAAGACTATACAGTAATCACTTGGCACAGACAATTATTAAAAAAAATAATTAGAATATTAATTAAAATTTCTCATTAGTACACCCTGAGGTTTTAGGAAATTAGTCTAATGATAGGGCGAGTGGGGGTGGGGTGGGGGGGGTGGGGGTGTCTGGTCTTCATTCTTTCCCAGCAGGGGCGCAGTTTGCCCTGAGAGCAAGAGTTAAGGCCCGGGAAAAGTGACAGAGCATACTGTGAATATTAATGAGAAGAGGGAGGGAGTCAAAGAGAGTTGGGGGGTGGTGCATTGGATTAAGTAGTGGCATGTTTTAATTGGAGTGCTGCTGGGATATTTACATGCTTAATGTGTAACCCAGATTTGGAAAGCACTGCCTTGTGTGTCACTACATTCATATACATTTTGGGTCCGCTGAATCTTGAGACCCCTCCAGCAGTCCTCCCCCACAGAGTGACTGGACGCTTCCAGCTGTTGGGTAAAAAAAAAAAAAAATGTTACAGAGGAGTTGGTTTAATAAAAGAATCGAACATAAAATTAAAAAAAGAAGGCACAGGCAGCACTGGGAGTATTAAATAAAATAGTTTGCCTCCACAATGTGACCAGTAAAAATGCCTGATTAAAATGATTGTTTCACCTCAACTGTCGAGGGCTGCCACAGCCCCCCCCCCCCCACTGCATTGCACAAGAAACTGGACCAGGTGCTTGAGTTCACAAAGTTATTTATTAACCAAAATCAGCATTCAAATGTATTCTGTTGCCACAGCTGCCATCGTCTCACGCTCACCACACAGACACAAGTGCTAGTAAGCGCTCTCTGTCTTCCCTTGTCATTTATTTTTTTTATTTCTGTTTGCCCCAGACCTTCCCCTTCTATTATTTTGGCCCCATTTGCACAGATTGCTTGTCTCCAGACAAACAGAAGCACAAACTTCTTCAGTTGGAACAATGAAAGAGTTCATGAGATGCAATACATTTTAAAATGTTGCACTGGCAACCTGAGTCATGGGACATGCAGTCCTAGATTTGCCATATGCCATAGCTGATCATTTGTCGCTGGAGCTTTGAAATCCCACTTTTGATTTATAAATAACATCCCCGTCACACTTCCTCTGATGAAAGTGTTTGTCTACATGCAACAAGGTAGTCACCCACAAATTCTGGGGTGGCTGATTTGTATTCCTCCTTGTCAGACTGAAAACACTGCACAGGAATGAAAAGCTTTCTGCTAACCTACATACAATTCTGCACCGCACATGTCAGACATCAAAGCGAAGGCGGCTTCAATCCATGGATTTTACTTCAAATCATCCGGCATGCAAACATTTTCGAAACACCCCCCGCGCAGCCTCCCTCCACCCACCACTCGACTCCCTTTCGAAAAGAGATCATTGTGTTTAATAAATAGACCCACGCGGATAAACAGGTGCACCCAACGCAAATGCGAATGTATTAACTTTTGACGAACGCCCATTTGCATGAATAACGTGAGGTGTCAAAACAAGTGAGGAAACCTATTCTACACCCTCTATTGATACCCAAGCCTTATGTGACATCTTTGAAACACCTTTCATCCTTTTTGTCAGGGTGCACAATACTCCTTGTATTGAGGGATTCTTCGCAATAGGAGAAGCAGGAATGATACGTCCCAACATTCCATTGTATGCTTCTGTCAGTTTGTTTCCATATGTAGCTGGCAAACAGCAATGCGGGCCTCCATTTCTCCGAGACTCGGTTCCCGGAGTGTGGACATATTCGGACAATGGATGGTGATGCAACAATGAATAATGTCCTTGCCTCAGGGCAGCATGCTCTGCAATCTCCAACAGCGTATCCCCGACTGTTCAGCAGCCAGAATGAATGGAGCGCCGACCCACATTTCACCTCCTTCAAGCGTGTGGACTCAGAGTAGCTGACAGACAGACACTGATACCACCCAGGGTGACATATTTGATCATTTTGATGTTGTTGTACGTGCACAGCATTATGCATACAGTGAATGCAATATGCTCCGCTGATAATTTGTATGTAGCTTTGGTCCAATGGTTGTGACGTGGTTCACATAGCTGACTATTGTCTCGATGGATGGATGCATATGTAAATGTGGAAATATGCAGATAAAAAATATTCTGGTACTACAACTGCCCGTTGAGGTCGGTTTCTATCTCCATTTGATATTTTGGTGGATGTTCAGCTACAGCACATAAGAAAAACTCACCCGTTGACTCAAAAGACATTGGACAATAACTTGCTTTCTCCTATTACACATCTCACAGTGAGCGTAGTTTTCAATTGCAATGTGACCCCAACAGAGTAAAGTACAGGTCAAGTGAAGGATGTTAGCACCTCACATCCTCCAGCCCCTCACCCAGTCACTCAGGAACCACTTCCTCCAATTTGCAACTGTAGCTGTCTAGATGTTGACCTTGCCATGCTACATTGATTTTGCTACTTGGCGCACAGAACGTCCACTTTTATTAGGCATGTAAGCAAACTGGGGGGTTGGTTTGAGTTGACAGGTCTGACACCAGACACCAGGTACCTCCCCCTCTCCAACACTCTCAGGTCCTCTGACATATCTAATAGGCTTTGACAGGCTCTCAGATTGGCAAATGCTAATGACGGCGTATGCCTGCGAGATCTCACGGACTCAAGCTGATGATATCAAAGGGTTTGGAGATTGGGTGGAATTTGAAAGGGTGACTTGATACCCAAGGCTTATGATCGGTATTAGTCTGGAGCTAAACAAAGGGAAAGAGCAGTGTGTGCAACAGTGCATTTCTGTTTTTCATACTCAGGAAAATTTTGCACTGAAGTCCATCCATCCATTTTTCGAACCTTGAACTTCTAATGATGGTCTACAGATGAATTCACACTGTATTTTTCACAGACCCATGCATTTCTCTGGGTATTGATTCTCTGTTAAAGACAAGAAATCAAATACAAACATCTGTCCCATTTGTACGGTCTGACGAAATCTCTGATGTGGCCTGTTAGTAAGATCATAAGGCACAAACCGGGTGGCCGTAACAACAAAAATCCTCATTCATGCAACCTTGAAAATGCCGCGAGAATAAGAATGGGGAATTGCGAACCTGTAGGGAACTTCAGATAACGCAACCCATGAAATAAATGAATTTAAATTAACAAATGTTATTTTGGGCTGAGAGTGGCCTCTCTGACATTGCAATCAGTGTTCCATTGGTTGAGGGTAGGGAGGGTGGCTTGGGTGCTGCTGTGAAGCAGATTAAGCCTCTCATTACCACGGTTACTACTTTTTTTTTTTTTACCAGCCTCCATCTCAACCTTGTAGCTCGCCACTTTGCAAGTCCTCTGCAAGGAGGTGAGCTACGATTGAGATCGACTCTCTGTAAATGGGCCAGACAAACACTTGTCAAGGTTGGCAAAAAAGTGACTTTTTCATTTGGACGTTTTTTTTTTTTTTTAAACAATACATCCAGCAAGAGTGAGGCATCATAATGTTTAATTTAACAATAATGTAAATCTTTCCGAAGCGTCTTTCTTGCCTATGCCCATTTGTCATCATTCAACAAAATCTGAATGTTTGTCACGAAGAATGTCGATCAGCTTGAGATGAAGAAAATCCACGTTTTAGCTAGTTATAATTTTTTTTTAAAAGAGTACAGCTGAATAGTAAAGCTCTCACCATTTGTCGTAGCTCTCCAGTCAAACTGATGCGATTGGCCTTTTTGCTAAAACACACGGTGACAAGCTCTTGACCCCAGTCACCCTCCGACGGTCAAGATGAAGTCTGATTTCAATATGAATGTGAGCTTTGCATTTGATCAAGCACGGAGGGTACCCAGAAATTGGTCACACACTGGTGGTCCAGCTCAGCTTCGCAACCGTTTTGATGGTGATGTCCCTCCCACCTTTCAAATTGTCGTGGCACTCACTCACACGAAACAAAAAAAAACTGTTTTGACCAGATTCTTGTCAGAATACATTGAAAATCCACTATGGGGACATTGTTTTGTCCTACCTCTTGCCTTGTGTGAACAACTAAATACAAACATACCCAAACAATGTAAAACAAAAAAGCTTACTGCGTGGACAACGGACAGCTTTTTGGCGACGTGACAGAGTTCACACAGAGGTGGAGTTGCACTCCCCTGGCACGATATCACCCTGCTGAGGTTAGCAGGTTGGTACATGACGTTCGTATCCTAGCCAAGTGTTGCTATATCTGTCTGGGCACCTGCAAGGAGTGACAAACAAGCACACTGTCAGTCCTCCAACGCTTTAGAGCACCTGCACTCTTCAAAAGTGACAGCCGCTTGGCATGCTACAGTTGGCTTTTGAACACGGGGTGTCAATATGCCCTC